TTACTTTTCTAAAATTTGCGCTTTTGTAGACAGCCATTTTACAGTTTATATGGCAACAAAGTTTAAAGCTTATTTAAAAAACTTCAAATCACATTTTTCAACTTAATCGGTAGTAAATATTTGTAATTTATGCTAGCTTTAAACTTTGAAACATTTACTCACATCCAAGTTTTCTACAAGAATTTCTGATATGCATAAAACTGGTCCTGAAAATTGGCAACAGTTAGAGTTCCATAACCTACTATTTTTAAATTTGGCAGATGATGTCGTGTTTCACAGTACATTCTTATTGTTTCACGACAATTGTAAAGTATCAGTATGCACCTCGGATGCACGTTTAATTTGTCACCATTAGTTTCCACTAAAGTTTTACCTAACAAAATTTGTATTTCAAAGATTAAACTAGTTTATGTACCTAACTGAGTATCTTAAGCAAATGTCGTCTGCAGACCTAAAAAAAAATTATCATTGTTATTTGTTTTTATAAGAAAATAAATGTAAACAGCATTATCTCAAGTAACCATTAACAAAAAAATGCCTTTTCTGTCCTGTCTAAGCGTACCACAGTTGACTTTATGACTATTTCAATATAAATCAACATAAACGTCTATTTGTCATTAAGACGATTACTTAAAATTATGTTGTTTTGGTATCAGATAAACAAAAAAAAAAAAAAAATAGCAAACTATCTGTAATTTATATGTTTCCAATCAGCTTTTTATTTCTCTTAAAAGTTCAAATGTTTAATGTTTTTTAAACTTTTTCATAGACAATGACATTTTTGGTCTATAGAACAACTTTTCAATTGCATTCCTTATAATCAGTGTAAAAATTTGAAAGTATCAAAGTATAATTTAGCTGGATGTGATAAAAGTCTAGAACCGAAAACATGGCTGACAACTAGGGCAAGAGGTATTTGGGATTGGGCAACTGTTGGTCAGTTACCTACCGGTCCACATTTCTGTCTAAAGGTTTGTTGTATTTTGTCGATTCTCCTGCAGTTATAAACACTGAGATGTTTTTCAGTTGAAGCATTCTTTTTTTTTACAGTAAAGCAGGTAATTATTTTAATACTTACAGTTTAACCTTTATAATAGGTTCAATTTTTTATTTTTACAGCATCATTAGAACAGTAACAAAAGTAGAAGCTTTCAAAAATATATGCATATTTGTTTGGTTTATTATTTCAAATGCTAAATTATACTTTTGGCAAATATAACCAGAAATTTTTCAGGGTAATCAAGCCACTTATTCATTGGAAGTAGATTATCATGTTCATGTAACTCCAAAACCCAGTGAAAATGAAACACAATCGGTAGTACTGTTAACAAAAACTGTACCTGATAAAAATGCCATCGGAAATCGTAAATTTTTTTCAAACTTTAAACTGCCTCTTTTTTCAATTAAAACTATTTTTTTGACAGGTAATTATATAATTTTAAGTTTATAAACTTATGTGTTGTTTACTGATACTCTAACAGTATTTGCTTTTGTATTTGTAAGCGCTTCGCTTCTCTTTCTTGATTTATAATATTTGTATTACGAAAAAATTATTGGTTGCAAATATTTAGTTGCAAAATGCTAAAGAAAGCTTCACAAAGGTAGCGAAAAAAAACAGAGTATCAAGTTTATGCTATCGGTAATTTACAAAACGTAATTGGTTTTTAAAAGTTGTTTAAACAAAATATTTAAGACTGTTAATTTTGTAATGATTTGTTGGGTTATACTTTTCTGATTTAAATTTCAATTGATAATAACAATTTTTTGAAAAAAAAAAAAAAAAGAGTGGATAATTCAAGGAACTGATTGTGGTACTGGAAATCCGCAGATTCATTATTGTATGATGCTTTGTTGGTTAAAAAATGACATGAAACTGTTTATCATTGATACAGCGTTGTCATCGAAAAATGCATCGTATGTAGCCAACAAAATTTATGATCAACTTGGTACCCCATCAGATACTGCCGTAACTGTGTATTCTGTAAGCAGATTTTGCCTTTTTTTTTTGCCTTCTTACTTCTATCATCTTTTTTCTTTTGTCGTTTTTTTTTTTTGTCTCTAACGTCTATTTAATGCCATCTATATGCTTCCTGAATTCACCAACTACCTAAGTATGGTTAAGTTTATCTGTTATTCAAACTGTTTCTTTCAGGTAAACTTAGATGCGGTTCCACAAGCACAGTTAAATCAGCAAGTGTATTACGGAGATCCTAATTACTGCAGTGTTTATATTGGTATGGAAACTGTTGGAATACCGTATCTGTATGAGATACAAGTTGTCAAAGTTATAAAAGATTAAAAATCTAATAATTGCAATTCAACGAATGACTATTACAGTAAAACTAATTTGCAATTCAATTAGACTGTCTTTTTGATTTTACCTTTTCTGTAACTGTATACTGCATATTATTATACGAATATTTTTATACAGTATAATAAAGCCACTGATCTTTACAATTCAATAGTAAAACAGTTTGGTAGCAATAAAAAATTGTATCACAACAGCTAAATTCTTGTTTAAAAATTGGAAAACATAAACATACACAGAACAGTTAAGAATAGTATAACAGAAACCTAAGAAAAAAAAAGGGAAAACATTAGTGATTATTCATCGTTTTTTTTTTTTTTGTTTTTTTAGTTAACAGCTAATATATCTGACAGCTAAACAGAGACAAAAGCGGATGATTTTATTATTATTTAATCATTTATTGCCAACTAATTCGGTATAACTGTTTAAAAATAAAATATAAAAAGCAAAAAAAAAAATTTTTTTTCAGCTATACAGTGTTACATTACATTGTTCTAAGCACTAACACTTAAATGACTGTCAACGTTATCGACTATAAGTAATTTAATGTTCTATTCTCTTGGTAATATTTTATTACGACAAAAAAAAATAGCTTTTCTAGACAAATTTACCATTAAAACGACTGACGACATGTCATCTTATCTGTCAATTTTTTTGTGTTTCGAGTATTAATAGGGTAAAGAAGTAAATCATACATAACATACTGTTTAAGACTAAACTTAAAAGATACATATCATTTATGTGTACAACAAATTCGGTGTTATTGTCTATTAGCGATAGCTTCAGAAAGTGAATGGATAAGGATAAGTCAGAACTGAATATATTTATATGAGGATAGTTTAGCGAGAAAACATCAAACGCAAATAGACAAACGATTTTCAACAGTTGTAACAAACTTTTTTTTTCATTATTACACCTCAGCCAGTTGCTTGTATCCATCAGAAACTGTAGTTTTGTCGGTTCAATTAATTTATTGTATGGCTGTTACAGTTTATAGTTTAGTATTTTTGTTATTAAGACATAACATTTTAGAGACAGTTTTTTCTTCTACTCTTCATAAAAAAGAAAGACTTCCGGGTTTTTGATTTTTATTTTTTTTGGCAAAAATAGTCTAACGAAATAAACTTCAACACACTGCGATCAGTACTGTATTGTTGGTCTGAAAAAAAAAAAAGTAGAGAAGAGTCATGAAGCAATGCTTTGACCAACTGAGTTCAAAAAAAGCATGAAAACATCTTTTAAAAAATCTTTTTCTTTTAAATTATATTGAACACTTACAGTTGACTGATATTTATGAAAGAAATAGTGGTCGTTTCTTTTGGCGGTTGTGGAAAAGTATCCTCTCTGTCATCTGAAATTCAACATACATTTGAAACCAAAAAAGACAAAACAACTTTTAATAATTTAGCTAACAATCTGATGACATTGTTTTGCCTATATTAATTAAATATTTGAATTTAATGATTGATTGATTGATCGACTGATTAATTGTTTGTTTGTTTGTCTGATTATTTGTTTCACTGATTGATTGATCGATCGATTGACTGACTGTATGAATGATTGATGGATTGACAAATGTATAAAATGAATTGAAACTGTTAAAAAAAAAAAGATTCCAATATAGCAAAAAAAATATGTGTCGACAAATTGCTTGACAAATTCTGATGGCAAATTCTATGGGAATAAAATGAAGAAGTGTTAACTGAAAAACGAAGACGAAGAAGAAGAAGAAGAGGAGGAAAAAAAACAACAACAGAAACATCCATACCGAACATTTCAGCTTTCTTTTCATCAATGTAATCTTTGTAGCGGACGATAAAACATGTGTACATACAAAAACAGAATAAAATAAGCATTCCAACAAATGATACTGCCATCCAAAAAATTGTTGTACGAGACATGAAAATTCTTGACGTTATTCGACGATCTGTTTGAAAGCATGGCTAAAATGTACAGTCAATTTAATTGCACCTTCTATACAGATGTATTAAATCTTGAAGTACAGCTACAATTTGTAAACCCATTTGTTGTTCAGTTGTATAAATATTTTTATCTAATTTATGAAAATTCAAAAATTCAACTAATCCTACTACATTGCTCTTCTCAAATTGTAATTGTTTTGAAAGAAATCAAGAAGAATTTTTCATACAAACATATACTACAAAAGCCACTAATTTGTAAAAAGTGTCAAAAGAAAACAGTATATTGATTCAACTAAAAAGACTACAAGTAATGTTCAAAAAAGCAATAAATTTAATTTTCTTTTTGTGCTACTAACATTTTCACATTATTATTTTAATGTAAAATACATACAACAGTTTAAAGTTTACCTCAACATTGGTCACCTTAAATGCTTGATACAGTTTTGTAAGTGCAATATCTGCATCAACAGTAGCTGTTAAAGCATGTAAAGCTTTTTGGCTGTCAATAAGTTGGCCATTTTCTGTTGCATGAAAGCATACCGATGATCTGAACAGATTTGATAGCACAGTGATCAGATTACAAAAAAAAAAATTAAGAGTTTGAGAAGAAATTATTAATTGTGGAAGATCGAGTTTTACCACAATTTATAGCTGATAGCTGTTACTTTTAGCTGTTTATAGCTGTTACTTCTTTTCTTCGTTTGTTTTTAATGTCAAATAAGTGCTAAAATGTTGGTCAAATTTTTAAGTTGAAAATAAAACTTTTTTTTTTTGTTAACCTATTTCGATGAGTGGCATCATAGGTTCGGTAATAGTCTGGACTTGCAAAATAGACTGACATATTAGATTTTTGTTCATTTGCTGCTAATGCTGCTTTTAGGTGCCTGAAAAAAAAAAAAAAAGTTTCTTGTCAAACGTCAAAATGTCAAAGTTTCTTTTTTATTTGCAAATTTTTTTAATGATAGACTAAAAAGTTTCTAAGCAGTAAAACTATTCGACTGTTTAATTACTGCTCTGTTATTTCTGTAATTTATGATAATAGGAAAAATTTTTTCTTAACTTAATTATCTATAAAACCATTTTAATGCTGTACCTGTACAAATTTTAGCTTTTAAACTATAGTATCACTTTTGTTCTATTGCATATTGTTTTGGTTTTTAGATGATTAAATTTTAAAAACTCTCTCATTTCTTCCTCAATAAAATATCAACAGTTTCTTTTTTTTTTTTTTTTTTCAATAAAAATCATTTATAATATTCAGTTTTGCAATGTTACGGTAAAACTAATAACACCGGTTTCGTCTTGAACAAAAGAAAATTGCACATCAACTATAAAAGTTTATAACTGATGTTTAGAATAATTTTTGCTTAAGATTTGCGCCTAAATATAACCTATCAAAATAAAACAACCAAAAAAAAAACCAAAAGATTAATCGTACTTTTTAAAATCTGCAAAATTAAGTCCAAATACATCTGGATTTTGGTCGAACACAAATCGAAGCATTTGATCTTTTTTAACATTATGAACCTGAAAAAAAAAAA